AAATAAATAAATAAATATGTTTTTTATTATCGTCATGTACTAGCAATTCTACAATACTAAAACCCTTTCTACTCAGGAATAGTTTCCTCCCACCACTAATCTTCCCTTTGGCATGTCCCTGGGCACAATGCACTACACTAGAACAGTGGTTATAAAGCTTTAGCAGGCATCATAATGACCCAGAGGGCCAGTAAAATACAGATTGCTAGCCTTACCTCCAGAGTTTCTGATTCTGGAGGTCCAGAATCAGAATTTGCTTTTCTAATAAGACCCTCAAGAAGATGGACTGACACAGTGGCTGTAACAGTGGCTCAAGCATAGCAAGGATTGTGAGAATGGTGCAGGATCAGGCAGTGTTTCATTCTGCTGTACACAGGATTGCTATGAGTCACAGTTGACTCAGTGGCACCTAACAACAACAACAACAACAAGATCCCAGGTGATGCTTATTGCTACCAGTTTGGGAATCACACTTGCGGAACACCTGCAGTGAAGAAAAATGAGCAAGTTTGAGTGGCCCAGAAATGATCTGATTAGAAATTTGAGGGCCTTCATTTTCCTCAGAGGAAAAGGCATGTCTATGCCCTCTGCAATGTATGCAATACCTGTTTGTTATTTAAAACAATAGAGGAGAAAAATGAGGTAACCTATGGTGAAGTTAGCTTGTTCTTTGTATTTTTTACCCTTGTTAGCTTGTTCTCTGTATTTTTTACCCTTTTACTTATATAAACCAGAGCCATGAGTAACTTCTAAAGAGCTGCCTGATCTTTAAATGGATACATGCGAGAAGAGGAGAAAGTTTAGTGAACCTTATTTAGGTAATGCGAACTTTTACAGAGGTTAAATAACTACTACTTCTAATATAGATAAAAGGTGGCAGTTAGCGCCCACCCAGGGGTGTCTCAGAAGTCAGGCCTAACAATCTGTTTCTAAAAGATCACAGCTTTGAAAACTAGTTCTACTCTGCACAAATGGGGTCACTTTGAGTCAGAATTTACTCGAAAGCAACTAACAACAAAAACAAGAACTTCTTACAGTGTTTGGATGAAAGACATCCAGATCACAGATTCTTTTACTTAAAAAGGGATGTCTGTGATGTTCTCATTGGGTCCCAGCATAGCAGGGACTATTTTGGTAACAGCTTTATCTTCCCAAAAGAAAAGGAAGGAACAGGGGCTGAAATGACCAATGACACATTTTTTTTTTTTTGAGGGTGAAGAACTCATGTATGGAAAAGCTACTATATGGAGGGAAGTAGTTGGTGGACCAGTGGAATCATTCAGGGGCTTGTTAGAAATGTGGAACTTCAGGCCTCATGGCATTGAAGTCTGAGAAGCACTGATTTAGTTCATCTCCCGGTTCTGAAAAGTATACAGACTACTTGTTAATTAAGGAGCTCTGGTGGTGTAGTGCCTAAGGCATTTGACTACTAACCAGAAGGAAGGCGGTTCAAACCCACCAACCACTCCATGGAAGGAAGACTGGGCAATCTACTTCCATAAAGATTTACCACCTTGGAAAGTCAAAGGGGGTTGGCATGAATTGGAATCAACTTGATGGCAGTGAGTTTGGTTTGGTTACTTGGTTCCACCATCAACACCAATGGAGGCAGCAGTCAAGAAATCACACAACATATTGCACTGGTCAACCATGCTGCAAAAGATTTCTTTAAAGTGCTGAAGAGCAAAGATGTCTCTTTGAAGACTAAGGTGCACCTAACCAAGCCAAGCTGTTTTCAATTGCCTCATATGCATGTGAAAGCCAGACAATGAATAAGGAAGACTGAAGAAGAGTTGGTGTTTCTGAGTTGTGGTGTTGGAGAATACTGAAAGTACCATGGACTGCCAAAAGAACTAACAAATTTATCCTGAAATAAGTACAGCCAGAATGCTCCATAGAAGTGAATATGGCTATAGACTTTGTCTAACTTCTTTGGTCATGTTTCCAGAAGGGACCATTCCCTGGAGAAGGATATCATGCTTGGTAAAATGGAGCATCAACAAAAAAGCAGAAGGCCCTCAATGTGATGGATTGACACAGTGGCTGCAATGATGGGCTCACGTATAGCAAGGATTGTGAAGCTGGCACAGGACTGGGCAGTGTTTCATTCTGTTATATATATATATATACATAGGGTCTCTATGAGTTGGAGCCAACTTGATGGCACCTAACAATAAGTTCCCTTTAGTGTTACTTACAATGTCTGTGCCCAAGTCGATGAACAAGATGGTAATAGTGCCAATGGGAAGGGGGAGCCCAACAATAATGTAGATTAAAAAGGGGCAAAGCTCAGCAATGTTCTTGGTCAAAGTGTAAGCAATGGTCTTCTTTAGGTTGTCAAAGATCAGGCGACCTAGGCAAAAATATTTCTTCTTATAAGACTTGCTTTTAGTCCCCCAGGAGACCCCAGCCCTCAGTAAGATTACCATAGACCTTGCTTACCTTCTTCCACCCCAGTGACTATGGATGCAAAGTTATCATCCAGTAAGACCATGTCAGCTGCATTTTTGGCTGCATCAGAACCTGATATGCCCATGGCAATTCCAATATCTGCTTTCTTTAGAGCTGGAGAGTCGTTAACTCCATCTCCTGTCACAGCAACCACTGCGCCCTATAGGGGACATGAGAGAATGTAAGTGAACATATATATCCAAGGAACCACAAGTTTGGCAAGAACAACATAGCCTCAATTTCATCTTAAGGCTAGGAGAACTGAAATCAAGGGCCTATTTTTTGGAGAAATATAAAGACAGGAAGTCCAAGAAGCATGATTGAGCTGCAAACAAGATGTATCTAAATAAGGAAAACTAGTGTGATAGTTAAAACAGATAGAGGCTGTATGTTATATTTTTACATTTTTAAATACTTATAGCCCCATACCTACCACAGTTCCCAAATATTTTGCTGTCAGAAGACCCTAGTTCTCATGATGGAGTGCAGAGAACCAGTTTAAGTTCTTCCCATAACATGTGGCTTGGAAGTGTCTGGTATCATTCCTTTCAGATGTGAACAAGGAAAGCAGAGAGTAACGTAAAACCAGTGAGAGGGCAGAGAGGTGAAATGCCAGTGACTGGCAAAGAGCTGTCTCTTAAGAGTTCTCAAAAGGCCTCATAGCTCAAGTATGAGACACGAATCTGTTCTGGCATTTCTGCATCAATGACAGCAGACCTGGACCAGCTGGCTGTGGTGATGTCCACTCACCAATCTCTGACAACCCTCCACGATAATCAGTTTCTGCTGGGGGGATGTCCGGGCAAAGACTATTTCTGAGTGGTTGGCTAGGAGCTCATCTAGTTGTTCTGAGCTCATGTCCTTCAGCTCCATGCCAGTTACCACAGCGGCTTCAGCGTCCCTAGAAGTGGGAGAGACTAGGTGAGGTCATAGAGCAGACCTGAAGTTAGAGCACTGTTCTGGGTAGTACATGGATTGAAAACACTGTGATATTACACTGAACTGAATTTAATCAGGTCCTAGTAAGTGACAGAACAGTGGTTATAAGTACTGGGGAAAGTTTAGTCTCCATTTCAAGACAGTAAAAATGAGGCTCAAAAATTATAATTACTTCCAGGACAAGAACAGATATGTGCACACCTTGTTCATGACAGCACTATTCACAAGAGCAAAAAGATGGAAACAACCTAAGTGCCCATCAACAGAAGAATGCATAACCAAACTACGGTACATACACACAATGGAATACTATGCAACACTAAAGAATAATGTAGAATTTGGGAAACACCTCATAACATGGATGAACTTGGAGGACATTATGCTGAGTGAAATAAGTCAATCACAGAAGAACAAATATAGTATTAGTTCATTATTGTAAAAAGTCAAGTAAAGGTTTATATATGGAAGGAAACTTTCTTTGTTGGTTACCAGGGGTGGGAGAGGAAAGGAGGGAACAATGAAAAAAAAAATGCATTGACCCATGTCACTTTAGTTTTGTGTATTTCCCTCTATATAAATTATATTTCAATAAAATGTATTTAAAAAAATAAAAAATAATATGCTGAATGAAAAAAAATACGTATTAAAAATGATCATTTCTTGGTATCATATAATATAGGAATGAAAAAGCCAAATAAACTTTTCATTACAGGAATGGATAGGAAGTTGTACTTCTGGGCAATGCTTTACTTAGCAAGTAAAAGGAGGATAAAAGTTGCCCTTTTGAAAATATTAATAGTAACATGTAAGTGATGGGTAAATGACTATATACTGTAGAATATTTTTAACTTTACTGTGTTTTGGAAATGTTTCATAATAAATTATTGGGAAAAACCTGCCTGTTGGGTCCTAGAATTCAGTTTATGCCAAATGAATAGTAACAATAGGTAATAATTCTTTGTTGTTTTTATAATTTATTTGAAATGTACAGAATGTGTATTGTCTGTAATGTGCTTTAAAGGGAGAAAAATGTATTTAAGTCTACATTGAACAAAAATATTATCTGCTGAAATACAAATGTATGGTTCCAGGGCCTACTGATAATGCAGCTCTGTGTAACTTCCTTGCCAAAACTCTTCAGAAGCTTTCCAGTGTGCTTACAACAAACCCCAGAACCCCCGACTTGGTCTCTAAGGCCATGTGCAGCCTCCCAGGCCAAGTGAAGTCTGTAGTGTTGAGCTTTATGTCTCCTTCGTTCTCAGTTCTGACACTCTCCAAGCTCTGCACTACTCTAAGACTTTCAGAGGTCTTTCTCCCTTTGCAAAAAGGGCCATCTCTTTGCTTGGCTAGTACTACAGATTTTAGACTTCAAGTCTCAGCTTGAACATTGTAGGTATGAAAGACTACATGCCTTTATCTTTACATTTGTTAAGTTTTGAGGTTTTAGGGCCTGTGTTGTCCGCTTGGTGCTAAATATTGGAATTCTAGCAGTTCATTGTGAAACTATAGGCCTTCCTAACTGATGGCAAATATATAGTAAGAAATAAAGGCTATTTCCTTTCCCTCTATGACTGAAAAAATGCAGTTATTATACCATCATGAAGCTAGATCTGATAAAGTGACTAAATGAAAATGTTCATACATCTCAGTCTCCTATTCAGTGTGGTGACTTGTGTGAAAAGGTATAACCTTATTTCTTAAAACCAAACAAAAAAATAAAAAATAAAAATCTGCTTTGTAAATGTTTTTCATATAATTAGCCTTAGAGACTCAGACATTTGATGTTGCTATGCCCAGGGGCTATAATTCTGTTTGGTTTTATTACTTGGTCATTTGTTGCCCTAGTAATAATTTATTATCTAACATCTCTGTATTACTAAAGAACATAAACATTTGGGTAAATTAGAAGAGGTTCATTAGTATTTCTCTTTTTCCTCCTCAGGCATGAAAATATAAAAAAACCAACAATATTTAATTTTAACTTGAGACTTTGGAGCCTTTGATACATTTAAATTATTACCACCATATCCTGGAAGTCCCCCTCTGACCACCCCAATTCAGGTTAGTCTCCTCCCACTTCCGACCACACTCTTCCCTGCATCTCTCCTTCACTATACTCATGACACAGCAATTAGTTGATTTTTCTGTCTCCTTGGCTAGATTGAAAGCTCCCCCAAGGCAGGGACACTGATTGTTCCATTTGCTACTTGAGTTCCAATACTGAGCACAGTGCCTGGTATATAGTTGAGATTCAATAAATAATAATAAAAAAAAATATTTTAAGAGTTGGTTTTACATTCAATGTTACGTGTACATTTAGTTTCACTCCCCATTTACCGTGTCCGACCGTAACCCAGTCTCCTCCCTTCCCTGCCCAGTAAGCCTCCCCCTGTGCCCTTCATAGTTATGTACTCCTGTTTGTCCTGCATTACCTCTGTGTGAATGTTGCCCCTCTGGTGCCCCATGGTCTATTGTTCCAAGGGATGTATTTCCATAGAGTATGTGGGTGCACCACCCTGGGTGGAGTGGTCTGCATGTACATCTTGTTAACTATTGGGCTGAGAGCCAGCCCCTGGGAGTGAGTTTTATTCCAGGTGCAGAATGTATTCCAGGGCCACAATATTGGGGACTCAACAAATAATTTTTAAAAGAATCAATAAAAAGTGGATGAATGGATACAGGGATAGATGAAAGGATAGACAAGCTTAAAAGAATTAGGAGAAACAAGGAAAAATGGAATATTTCCTTAGGAAGCTTCAATTCTATTTATGACCAAACAAAAAAGAAATGAAAAATGCATTTATATAATTACACATTATGAAACTAACTGAAAAGTTAAAACCCAAGATAATCACTAGGGGACTGTATGAAATCCAATGGGTTAATAGTCCTGATTATACAACTAGATCAATGGCAAGTAATTTGAGATAAACTCTGTTTTTTTTTTTTTTTTTTCTGTATTCTCACTCTAAATTGGCAAAGTTTTCAGATCTACTTCATTGGATTTTGAAATTTAGACATAAGGGGTAATATTCATAAGCATCAATACAATACCAGGCACATAGTAATTGTTTAGTAAAATTCTGAGTAAATGAATGGATATGTGAATTATTGTCTAGTCAGCTTAGGGTCACCCTGGGAGGGTGTTTTGCCAACAGGTGATTTGTTCCAATAACACAGCTTTTTAGTGCCAACAGGGCCCCATGTGTAGGAACTCCAGTTTCTGCTCTATCGGTTCTGTGCTTACCATTTGTTAACTTGCTCCACAGCAATGTTGAGGCGTTTTGCAATGTCTTCCACTGTCTCACTGTTTGCTGAAATGATACCTACACTCCTGGCAATAGCTTTGGCTGTGATGGGATGATCACCTGTCACCATAATAACCTAGAGTACAGTGAAAAAAGCATATAGACAATGAAAAACTAGGTCAGCTAAAGTAGGAACGGTTCAGTATTGCCTACTCTACCATGACTTGGAAGAATATGGCTTGTGATTACCATGGTTTGCCCTCATGGGGAATTCTTGATTTAAGACACAACTGTCTGTTAAGGATACACTGATCCTGTTGGATCAACTCTTGTTCCTGAGCTTCTTACCTTTTCTCCACAGGCATTAGTGTAAGCCTTTCCCCTTTACTATCACATTATTTGTGAAAGGGATGAGAGATGTCTATTTGGAGCAGCCCCATATTTCTCCAACAGTCTTGGTATTAACATGGTGAAAGAACTCAATTTTGGCTTATATCTAATGAAGATGAATGTATTTTGAAGGCTGGATGTCCATATTAAGCAATAAAACCTTTAATTGGTTATCATGGTCTAGGACAAAACACGGCCTCTCCATGGCACAGGGAGATAGCTTTCTTTTCACTGCAATTACTGTTGTAGTTTATTCTACATAGACACATCATTTTGGTCTTATGGGACATTTACTAAAAATTAAGAAGGCAATTATAGTATTTACATAAAGAAACCTAAATACTGACCATCTTCTATGACAGAAGAGATACAACATATAGACAGCGATACAACATATAAGGGGGACTTCCTGAGTCAGGAAAATTACTCCCACCTTTATCCCAGCACTCCGGCATTTGGTAACTGCATCAGGCACAGTGGACCGAGGAGGATCAATCATCGATAAAAGCCCCACAAAACAGAGGTTGGAAGTGGGAAAGTTCATGCTATCTATGTCAAATGAGTAGGTTTCTGGAAACTTGTCTTCTGGCAGGTAGAGATGACAGAAACCTAGAATGGACATGAACTTGAGAGTTTATGAAACTAAAAACCCACTGCCGTTGAGTCAGATCTGACTCATAGCAACCCCTCCTTGGGTTTCTGAGGCAGTATCACTACGGAAGTAGATTGCCCAACCTTCCTTCTGAGGAGTGGTTGATGGGTTTGAACCACCAGCCTTCTGGTTAGCAGTCAATGCCTTAGACACTATTCCACAAGAGCTCCTTTATGAAATTAGGATAAGACAAAACAAAAGAAAAAGGGGGAACATTTTGATACACTTAGAGTCTTTTAATATTTTACCATTATGGTATTAAAAAAAAAAAACAACAACTAAATTTACTGCTGTCGAGTCAATTCAACTCATAGCAACTCCTCCCTGGGTTTCCAAGGCAGTATGTCTATGGAAGCAGATTGCCCAATATTCCTTCCAAGGTATTAAGGGTTATTATTTGGTATTATGGTATACCCAAATTGTTTAATTCCTTCAATTATACAATGCATGGGTTTAGAAAAGACATGTTTAATACAAAAATCATTTAGTGTTTGCCCATCAGGCTCCATGTTGTATTCTAAGGATATAAAGATGAAGCCTTTACTTCTAAAGATGTTCCTAATGAAATATAGTCAATGCTACAGAATATAGCTTCTTGGGGAGTCAGGAAAGATTTTACAAAGGAGGTAACATTTTAGCTGTATCCTTGGAGAGAAGTAGATGTTTATCAAGGATAGAAGGGAGGCACAGAAATCAGCATATGCTACTATACAAATTTGGGAAAGAATTTGGGTATCTAGAGAATAATATGAAGTTCAGTCTTTAATCCAAGATAAGCATGAGGGAATTATTATTATTACCATATTAAGAATAGGGTGAAAAAAAAAAAAAAACTCTCTCCCATTGAGTCAGATCCGATTCATACCAACACCTCCTTGGCTTTTCAAGGTGGTATCTCTACCAAAGCAGATTGCCCAATCTTCCTTCTGAGGAGTGGGTAGTGGGTTTGAACCACCAGCATTCTGGTTAGTAGTCAAATGCCTTAGGCACTATGCCAGCAGAGCCCCTAAGAATAGGGTAGAACCATTTATTTCTCTGAAGGCATCAGTCTTGCACAAGTTGAGGTAGAAGGGACCTGTGTTTTTGGGACTTCCAAGATCTTGTGATCTTCTCATTTGCTTTTATATTAAACATATTTTCAGCATGGCTTATTACTTTACAAATATCAATGAAGTACAGACTTTGAGAGGTCAAATGTGAGGTTCCTAAAAGTACTCTGTTGTTGTTATTTGCCGTTGAGTTGGCCCCAACTCATAGAGACCCCTCCTTGGGTTTCCGAGGCAGTATCACTACGGAAGTAGGATCGCCCAATCTTCCTTCTGAGGAGTGGCTGGTGGGTTTGAACTGCCAGCCTTCTGGTTAGCAGTCAAGTGCCTTAGGCACTATGCTACCAGAGCTACTCTAGTCAGATGGATATCAATTCTGTGTTGAAAAGATTACCCAGTCTTGTGGAGTATTTAGAGCATGCTAAGCATCATCATCTCACTTATATATTCTATTTACTTTACAAATTCACTATCTTTTAGAAACACATTCCACAGATTCCAACATGTCTACTGGCACAGACTTTAATGTTTAATGACTCTTATCAAAAGCAAGCCAACCAAACCCACTGCCATTGAGTCAATTCCAACTCACAGAAGAGTAGAACTGCCCATAGGGTTTTCAAGGCTATAAATATTTATGGAAGCAGACTGCCTCATCTTTCTCTTGTGCAGCAACTGGTGGGTTCGAATCTCCAATCTTTTTTGTTAGCAACCAAATGCCTTAACTACTGTGCCACCCAAAGTCCATGACTATTATAATCAACCAGTAATTCCTGTTACCTTGAATTTATCATTCTGTTGTTCTGAGCAGGTATCCTCTGATAAACTCATGATTCTCACAATGGAACACGTCACAATGCACAACCCTCAATGCCTTAAATAACCATGAATAGGTGATTCCATAATGGTGGCATTTGTAAGGTTCCTTCTAAAATTCCAAATTCCCTGTCTCAGTTAGTGGCATTACTTTTTTTCTAATCATGTGAGCATTTTTTTTTTTTTT